ACAATTTTTCCTGGTTTTTGGAAGCTGGCATGGACTAGATTTAACATCAGCTATGTGGTCCCAAAGTTTTACAGACAGAGAATATCAACTGGTACTAGTTCAATAATATAAATATTTTGTATATTAACAGTGCTCTTTGTTCAGCATTTTTCGGTCATTTGGTTTTGCATTTTGCACTTCCTCTCAGGACCTACTCTTTTGGTCAAAATAAGAAGTATTTGGTGAAGCTTAAGGGTGTTTTGATTTTTGATTCTTGGTTTGGGATATTGTTGGTGTGTGTATGTCTGTGTGTGTGTGTGTGGGTATGTGTATATACAGTGGAGAGCAGATTGGAAAACAGTTCTATTTATCCTCCTCCTTCCCCCAGTAGAAATAAAACAAATCTTTATATTTGTTACTTTTTTCCTATGCATAAAATTAATGAAAAGTGAATTAATCTTGGATTTCAAACCTGGAGAGATTTTATCCTTGAAGGTTTGGTTTTCATTTGCTTGGTTAACACATTTTTCATACATTTCTCTGGGTTTAAAATGTCTTGAGACATTTTCACCAGCTTTCTGCTGGTGTAATAGGTAGTGTATCTTTGGTGCAGTTGCCTTAGATTCATTTACCTAGTCAGACCCAGAAGAAATTTCTTTCTGAATGCCTTTTTTCCTCTCCTTTTGACCTCCACGTGACCTGGCCCATCTTTGGTAATGCTCTTCCTCATCTTATACCTAGCCTCAGAAGAATGTTCTCCATAGAGAGTTAAGAGAGTGCCTAATCCTTCTTTTTGGGACTTTGTTCCCTTAAGAAATAATGCTTCATCTTCAACTATTTCTCCCTTGATTTTACAGTTTGTTAGATTTCAAACTGGAATAGCTAGCATATGCTTGCTAAGTAATTTTATGCCAGCCTTATCCTGTATCCTAGCTGCTCTTAATAGCAGGTGCAAAAATGCTTTTTTTTTTTAAAGAAGGTTGGAATTGGGAATGTCTTTTTGAATCAGAAAAAAAAAAAAAAGCCATATACTCATCCCCCAGCACCAAAGGTCATTCTGGGAAGAGTTACTGGCCTGAGGAGGATTTCTTCAACCACTCTCCTACTCTGGCCTTGAACCTACCTCTAAGATTGGATCTTATTGCTGCTTGCAGCATCCTCCTGCATGCTTACTAGAGTAATGCTTTGGGGAGAACACTGGTAAAACACGGTATTTAATTTTCATCTCCTTTCAGAGGACTTGGAGGTAAGTTGCGTTCATTCAAGTTTCCCTCTCGATGTCTAATGATAAAAGCCTGCATTTTGCTACATCAGCATTTGTTTTGGCCAATATTTAAAAATAAGATTTAGAAAACCTATCATTTCCTGGCCCAACATCACAGAATATCAGCTTTGTTTCAAGCTTGATCTTTATTTGACATCTGAAGGGCAAGACCAAAAACATATCAAGCAATCTGTCAACACAAAGGCAAAGCTCTTGTGTTTTGTCATCCAGACACCTTAATTTATTTTATAAATGTGTTCATTTTCCTGCTATGTTTTATATAATACATGGGCTTAAATACAAAATAAAATAACAAGAGGATTAAAAAATTTTGGAAAAAGGAAAAAAAATGTTTTCTATCATACATGTATTGACAGAGATTTCAAAGCAGCTTTGTGAATGGATCATTTCATCATTGTCCCCTAATGCTAGGTTTTTTAAACTGTGGATTTTTACCCATTAGTGAGTCATGAAATCCATTCAGTTTTGATGAGCATTAAATAGGAGAGACTGAACATATCAGAGTGTATCACACATTAGAAGGATTACTGATGCAGACACCGGCCAGCAGTGTTCACGCTGTCATGGATGAGACATGAGATACATTCACAGGGACTACCGAGTCCTGTGGAAGAAAAGGGGCGGCACGGCTACCCTCTCAAGGGGAACGCACCTCGGAGCAGCCTGGCCACTCTCTCAAAGGAGAGCACGCCGATCCTTCCTTTCACAGGGCTTTTATTAGCTTTTAAATTGCACAGAATACAGATAAAGCTCATTAATCATTATCAGACAGTAAGGATCAAACAATAGATAACATACAAAGAACTCTGAGGGCCTATTCTGAGTCAGGGTCTGTTAGCTAAAAGGCTACAAAACTTTGGGAACTTCATTTCCTGCTCGGACCTTTATCATTTAATTGAGAGCATTCTTAGCAAAGCAGGCTTCACAGGAGTTTATGAATTCTTTCTCAGGCCTGATCACCCGGGTGAACCCGCCCTTTCCAGCACAGGGCTGCACCCTCCTCTGTCATTGTTTCAGGCTTAAGTCAGGCAGGGGAAGTAAGGTAGCCAAGAAATTAGAAGACTTCTCACAGACAGAATGAGGACTCAGGCTTTTTCAAAACTGAGGGCAAGGGTCCATTACCCTCTTTTGCTGTAGCCCCCCAAGTCCTTCCCTGGGGCCTCCCTGTGATCATACCTGTCTTATGTCGTCCCTCCCTTGAGGAATGTTACCAGTTATTAGCTAACTGATCAAGCATTGGGGCCCAGTTATGGAAAAAAGAGCAGAGGCAGCACTCCTGCCAGGGAGATAAGCTTTGTCTCCTTAGTGGCTTCTGGTCCAAAGGTCACTCACTCAGCCTTAGCCATGCGGGGGTTACAGCTCCTGAAACCAGGCAGGGTGGTTCCCAACAGATTATATAGTTTTGTACAACTTGTTTTAGAAACATAACTTTAACTTCATACAGGGTTATGATAGTGAAATTATTTCTTAAAGGGTGATGGAAAAAAAGTTAGGAAAGTGTCATCTGGGAAGTGATATTTCTGTTTGCTTGGAATGTTCACATCAAGCTTCTCCACTGGGAGTGAGGCGCTTGCAGGTTGTATTATCTTAGGTGTGTTTCCAGTCTTTGCCATTACAACATCCCACAGCTTCACACCTCTGGTGCTTCATCCTTCCCCACTTCGGTGGGGAGGAGGTAGAAAATACATCTTGCCTTGCGGCAAATATAACTCCCTCAATACCTAGATGCTCAAAGAAATAGTCAAACCACAGTTCTCAAACGTCTCCCATCTCAAACAATTTGGTTCTTAATCAAGTTGCTCACAGAAATGTGTCAGTTGCCAAACTTCGGTTCTCGACTCAACCCTTTCGTGCTGATAACTGTGTGAGCAGTCACGCATCTCTCAGGTGACAAAGGAGATTCAGTTTTTGAAATCACTTTTCGAACAGCCTTCCAGAACAAACTAAGTTCAACAACCCAGGTTCCACTGTATACTGATTTTTAAAGTAACTGTGCACTAAGTTTTCTCAAAATACACTAAATTTAACTCAGTCATCAAGAAATGGTAAAACTTGTACTCATGTTCAGTACATGTGATCCTTACCTGACACATTTAAAAGGGATGACACTTCATAAAAAAGAGAGCATCCAGAGGCTCTTTAAAGAAAGCCAGTCTGCTCACAAACGTGCAGATTCTGACTCAGTAGGTCTGAGTCAGAGGCTCAGCATTCAACCTGTCTGACAATGCTGCTAGGACCACATTCAGAGGCCCAGAGAGCCCCAAATGCTGCAGGAGTAAGTGGTGAGATCTTTGGCCCATCCTGCCAGACCTCATCTAGACTACCTGAGCCGCTAGCTCTAAATTCGGTTGGGTAGGACCCACAATGGTTTAGGTTTTATCTAAAATCTGGTAAGAATGTATCTTCCCTAGAAAAATATACAAGAGGTGCACCAATAGATTGTTTCTATTACTTTAGCTTGTCACTGAGTAGGAGAGACAACTCAGCCTCAGTGCCTCCCTGACAATGCCGAGTGTCAGCCACGCTCCACCAACAGCCTGGGTAGAGCTTATCACACTGGTCAGAGCAGGGCAGAGTCCTGGCCATCCACTGGGTGGACATCAGAGGACACACTAAGGTAACCCTTTTTTTTTTTTTTGAAGGGGTAAAGTTTTATTCATTCTCCAAGTGAGAAGAGGGGCATGGTGTGAAGAAACATGTCAGCATTGAGGGGTGGGGCTTTGAGCTTTTATTGGATTATGATTGGATTAAAAAGCTGGAGGGTTTGCTGTTGTGTGGCCCCTGTGGGCTGTAGGAGGTTCCAGTTTGTCCCAATGTTATCTTCTGCTTGTGGCTGTAGGGAGCTGTGGGTTAAGTCTCCTATTCTTGCTTTCCAGTAATTTCTAGTCCTGAGGACGAGCTTCTACCCCAGCACTGACAAAACGTACCCTGATGGATTTATACCACAGCTGACAGGTAGGTTTCCCCACTTAGTCACTGGCTATGATGGTAGGGGAGAAGGAGGATCAGAATCCTCCCTCTAAACCACACAGACACAGGGTCAGGGGGTTAGCCCGGGTCAGCTTCCGCTGCCCGCTGCTCCCCTAGTCGGAAGTATCAGGAGGCTGGAGGAGAGGAGGAAATAGAGAATGTCCCCATATGGGCCACCAAAATATTAAGGTGGGTGGTGACGGGGCTGAAAGAATTGGTGAAAGAATTCACAGAGAAGAAAGTGTAGAGAGGAAGGATTTTATTTGCTCTCCAAGTAAGGAGAGGGGTGTGGTGTGGAGAGGTACACCAGCATGTAACCACCGATTTAGAAACTGGGGACTGAGCTTAGCCACCTCTTCTCTTCACACTGCTAGTGGCACAGGAACAGGATGAGATGGTGACAAAAGATATTTTCTTAAATTTTTAACATGCAGACCCTAAGCAAAGGCATTCAGCAACATTCTCTTCTCATAGCTGGCACCTCCATTCTCCCTCGCTCGTACCTCCATTACATTTATACAAACTGGTTCCATAAAATTTTTTAAATGTCCATTTCTTTAATTTTAAAAAATATATACAGGAGAAGCCATGTATTTGACAAAGGAATACACATATTAACAAAGCATTTCTTATAGTTCCCAAAACTCTATTATCAGTCTGAAATTCATAAATTAAATATACCAGAACTTTTTAAGTTAAAATAATTCCCTGTAACTACTAAATATGCTAGATTTTTTCCAGAAATCAAATGAACCAAGAATATGAATATGGTTTGTGTTAAATAAGGTTTATTGTTAGCTTTATTGCCTATTGACTATAATATGCAATTTTATTGTGCCTTTGCAAACAGGATACATTGCTTAAAAAACTGATCAAAATTTTCCATACATATATCTCTATATAATAGATTACAGTGCAACACTATTCTTGTTACATAATTATAGAAATACTATAGAACCCAAGAGCACAGGGTAAGCAAAAGAAATACAATCCTGAGCCATCTGAACAAGATGGATGAATCTTTTTAGTGTAAGTTCAGAGAACACAGAGGGGGAAACATGCACACTGCAGTCATGAGCAAAATACATTAATTACCTGTTCCTTGCTAGACACACGTGGGGGTAATGGTGAATTCAGAGACATGCACACTCACTCACACTCCCATTTTTTTTCTCCTGCTTCCCTCCCATCTCCAATACATTCACTCCCTCCCCTTCCCAAAAGAAAAGATCAGGCACTAAACCCTAGTGAACCCCACATCTGCCTTGATGCAGAACATTAAATGACTACTAAAATGAGTGTAGGTCCTCACCCATAACGGGAAACAAAGCATGTGCTGTAAGTCAATCCCAGCTGCTTTTGTCTCTGTGGAAGTAATGAAACATATGCCTACTGCAGTTTAAAACTGTAGAGGGAAATGTCTTGAAAACAAAGCTTTGTTTTCTCTCCCTATGTTTTATAGTAAAATCGACAGTGGAAAACTCACCCTAAAACTAGATGCCTCATCTATTAAAATACATTTGTCATTTTATTTTTGGTATGTAATCAATTATAGTTCAATAAACAGTCCATGAAGTTTGCACCTGCTTATGGTAAACTGACCATAGCTGGACAGGTGTTCGTTAGTCCTTGCGAACATTCCCTCAAGACCAGAACGTTCTAGTGTTAGCGAAGATAATGTATGTTGAGTTAAGTAATGAAAGGTATTTGGTTTGTGTCTTCACTTTATACAGCTTAGTGATGAAATCAACCAAATCATACCTCCATGCCTTCCCTGAAAATAACCTGAGTCTTCTGACTACGCAGACTGACCAGTGTGACTAGCAGTCCACTTCATCAGAGGTTGAACCGGAAAACCAGAGGGCTAATGTCTACGAGCAGTTTGTCTTGTGCAGATGACCAAGAGTTCTTGGTTTTTGCAGGATCTACTGTCCCAAAGGCTGAAATCACTGAGGTGGAAATAACTCACAGCATAAAGAGTACGGAACGTAATTGCATAACCTGCGGAACTACTTGGAGACAAAAAAAGGATCCTCATCCCCCACATAATTTGGTGTGGGTTTTAGTGTCTCTGTATACACAGCTGCTACATAAAAATCAAAACAAAAGATTTACTTTATAACTTTCTTATTTTCAATTAGATGCTCATACACTCATAAAATACTCACACACTCTATGAATATGAGGTGGCTCTTCAAAATTTTAAAATCAAGAGGCACCAATACCCGTTCATTTATGTATTAGAAGTCTCACATAATCACCACTAAAACAACAGAAATGGCATCTGTGATGATCACACCACAGAGAAAAAAGATCAAAAGACAATTTTAGCCACAGCACTTCAGACTGTACTTGAAAGCACAGATGCTCTGGCTAAATCAGAATCTAAGGATCTAATAAGGTTTTATTGGTTTAGCATAGTCCAGGACAGACAAATGGAAATAGTTTCTAAAGGAATTTAAGAAACCACTCTGAAATTGTTTTCAATGTACATTATTTTAATTAGTCTGACTGTAAAAAACCTTGGTTCTACCATGACCTCTTGCAAGTGGAACGCAGAGCATGATGAATCAAAGAGCATTCCCCCACAGTGCTGACATCCACAGCCTATGGACCTGACACCACTGGTGAAGATGTTTTTAGAGTAGCAAGGACAGCATATTCTATTTTAGTATCTTTGGTTAAGGCCTGGCCTCTTCAAATCCACCTACCCTTCACATTTATGTCACCAATGAATTTTAGTCCACGCATTTAGTTAAAGGTCACAAGACATAATTTTCACGTTAAATCGTCATGTCAAGAGTTTCAAATATTTGGCCCTAACCCTGGGCAGCAGGAGGACTATAAGGACCTGGCACAGGAAACTGCCAACAGGATTCCCAACCCTGGGAGAAGGGCAAAGCGGAGCTCTAGCTTTTGTCCTTGAAAGTGGCCTGAGAAAACTACGAGTCTCTGGCTGCCAAACATATTTACCTCCAGCCTCCAGTGCAATGTCTGTACTGTTCAAACCCTATGTGGAGCCCAAATGCCATGTAGGTGTTTCTGGTGGTAGGTGAGAAAAAGTTGTGAATAGCACTAAATCTGGTCTAGCAAAAAAAAGCTTTTAAAAAAAAAAAAGAAACCCTGGGTTTTAATTCAAAGGAAAAAAAATATATAATAAACCAGTTTTACATCCTCAACCAGAGTATTGCCTTGAATACTCCACCTTCTCTTTTGGAGTCCAAAGAGCTTCTCTCTGCTTTCTTCCTTCACTGCTTTAGTGGAGAGAGGGGGAACTTTAGAGAGGGTTGTAACAGGAAAGCAGAAACACGGGGCAAAAGTACTGTGGGGCTGAGAGGTCGAACAAAGCAAGCACTCTGAGCAAGCTGATCCTGATTCCTGGCTCACCCACACAGCACACAGTAGCCCTCAACCTAAGCCTGGCCACACACACCAGTCAAGCAGGGCTCTCTGCAGTACCCTCTACTTTACAAACAAAACCCAACTCTCCCAGGTAAGCACTTCAGGACAAACCATCCAGGCTGTATACTATGGCAAGTGCTGCCACTTTCCAATTAACTTAGCACCAAATCTGTTCTCTCCCTCCCCCCAAACTAAGTCAATCTGTACTTTAAAATGTGAAGTGTCACAATTCTCTTTCCTTTGTTTTCTTCTTTTTTCATTGTCTCATGAGGTTTTCCTATATTGATGCTCAGTTCCATGTCAGATGAAATAATGTTGCAAAATATTGGGGGATCTCCATATAACATTCTTCTTACGATGACGTACTTAAAGGGTTGTAAGTCAAAATTATGTCCACAAAAGTCTTTTCCATGTAGTTCTTCATACAGAGAAAGACTCTTACACATGGCTATTTCTGGATAGTGCATTACATGAAGATGCCTCACAAGAGAAAAGATCATTGTGTCTCTGTAAGAATAACACAGAGACTCAGTCCACAAGCTGACACACGCTGCAGCGGAGGCATTGAACATTATACTACTCAAATACAGAAACAGCAAGAAACATATTTTGTGCTACAGAAAATTTGCTAGATTCTAACTGTAAGGATTTAATGTAATGACTGATTACTGCATTTTAGAACTGGAACATGCTTCTTCCCTTCCAGATGCACAATGTTTGATGCTGGTGCACACACACACACGCACACACACAATACTGTGTCTGCAATGATATACAAATGCAATAGACAGCCAAGTCCTAAAGGCAAATTTCAGAGAACAGGGCTACTAAGACCAAGAGAGCAAATATCAACTTAAGAACACTTCTAACTTCAGAATTTCATTTTATTGAACACACTTTTAAAATAAGCACCTCTTGGCAATAAAAGCAAAGAAACAACAGTGCTCCTTCCACTCTATTCCAGCGGAAGACTTCTCACACCAACCTGCTAAATTCATGATGGAATTTTAAAAACAGGCAGCCAGGCTACCAGCAAAGCTCAAATGCAGGTCTGCTGACTTTTCAGTGAGAACTGGAGCAGAGAAAAAGATCAAAAAGCAAACTCAGAATCTATCACAGCTTTCTTTCTTAAGCAAAAAAAAAAAAAAAAGTTTTATAACCACAATTCAATTTTTCAAACTTTTTCTGAAGAATTTTCATTTAATTATGTACACATAACAGGAAATAAAACCTTTTCACAAACATTCTCAAGGCTTACAATTATCAAGAAAATGACAAAAGTAAAAGCAGGAGAAATACTAATCACATGGCAGGGAGGTCAATTTCCATTTCTGCTCTTAAAAAGTAAAAAAATTACCATATAATTAAGTACAAAAACCTGCATTGAATGACAACTGCTGGTGTATTTACTTGATCAGAAATGAAGACCAAGAATATAATAGAGCCCTATGATCATATTTATCTGCAACACTCCCTCAGTGTGTACACTAACGTGTTGGCAACGTCTCTGGAGCATTAGCTTATATAAACACGGGAGTCCTTGGTTAGCTGCATTAAATGGAACATTCTCTTCTGAAATGCACCCACAATTCAGTTTCACTTACAAATTGCAAACTAAATTATTTCTTCAGAAAAATATCTGTTTGGCGTCTCCTGGACTTTGTTCCATTGGACAATATGGACATTTTAATCTGTGTAAACACAAGGAAAAAAAACACCAAGTCAAGGAACAAGATCAGTATTGAGCATTCTGTTTCATACAGTTATAAAGTATCTTTAACAATTATACACACACAAACTTACTCACAAACACACACAATGTGTTAATCAAAGGTGAACTATGCTTTCCCTTCACGTAACAGCCAAGCTTTGAAGGGTCACAATTAAAATCATGTAAGCCAGACCCTAAACTGAAAGGCTCTTCTTCAGCAGATGTCAGCAAAAATCATTTGGTAAACAAAACAAAGACGACTCTTCTGAAAATTGCTTTTGGAGTTTTCAGAAGTAAATCCAAGGTTTAGGATGCATCTGTCTTGAAATGAGTTTCAAATCTACTGGTCACACAATCCACTCAAATGCAGCAAATCAGATGCCAGCTGCCGAACCTGCAAAATACGCAGCCTCCCAAGAGCAGCTGACGTGTCTTGTAGCGGGGCACACAAAACCAGCATGGCTGCATGGTTTGGGGAGGGCACAGACACCTCTGTTACATGCCAGGGCCTCCTCTTAAAGGGAAGACTTTACCATAATGGTTTGCAATGGACTCCAGTAAACAATTTTCTAGCTGCCTAAACTAAAAATAGGCTTTGAGACTTTTGAGCTCTAATGTATACAAATTATAAGTATATGTACCCTTTGAATCAGCAGTTTCAATTATTAATATATAAATAAAAATATATAAATATATACACACCCTTTGAATCAGCAATATCACATATAGATAATGTAATTCACCTTACAGTAATAGAAGTTAAATGCTCACCAATAAGGGACTAGTTTAATAATTATCATTTCCACATAATAAAATAATCTGCAGCTTTAAAAAGAGAATGAGGGCTCTTTCTGTAGCATATAAAAGAGCCCCAAGATGTATCACTAAGTGACCACTCTATAGTATGCTACATGTTACCATCTGCGTACAAAGGCAGGGTGGGTGGGGGCGATGACATTGTGTTGCCTACGCAAGAAGAGTTAAATCATGCTTAGAAGATCATGCTTAGAAGTCTAATCACTAAATTCATAAACAAATTTAAAAACTGACCAAAAAAATAAAAAATCAGGTACCACCCACTATGCTAAATGAAGAGTTATGAAATCTATTTCTACATTTTAACAACATTTACTTATTCTCATTACTTTTCACTAAGTATCCTTTTCACTATCCTCCCACTAAGTTACAAAAGAAATTTTTTTACTAACATTTAAAAAGCCAGACACTTACTTGCTACCATTAAACATTTTGTTCAGGGCGTCTCTTGATATAATATGACCACAGACCAATTTCATGGGTGGATTGTTATCTGTTGTTTGCTGACGAAGAATGGGGCAGGCAAATATAGAGTGATACCAGCACTTTTTACCAAGGTCCACTTCAATCTGTTAAAAAAAAGTAAAAAGACTCAGGTTATAGCTCAGGACACCTTCACAGCAGTGCGCACGCACCATGCGGCAGAGAACACTGACCCAATGTACTCCTTTAACACACCTTTTTACAGCACTCTTCTAACTTCACAGGGACAGTCGTAGGATTCAAGTATTATTTCATAATTCTAAATTAACCTTCAAATTTTTGTTATAGAGAATTTTTATGAGTGTATCTGAGCCAAACTGACAACAACTGCAGGGAAGCAAATCTCAATGGCTTGAGAAAATACATTATTTATGATACTTTCAAACAAAATTTGATGCCTGAGAACTGAGTCAAAAGCAAACAAATCAATGCTCTAGAAGTCAAACACGTTCGAAAAGTCATTAGATACACCTAACAGTAAAACCCATCAGAAATCCCGACTGTTTTACAGCACACTTAGCTAGGTGATAAAACTCAGTGCATTAATTCCTTTAAAAAGAAACCAAACATGGTTTGTTTCTATATGAGCTTCACATCTAAGTTTCCCATGCTTTGTGTACAATGGTCCAGAGAAACCTCCTGAAACAAGGGCCTCACACTGAAGTTCAGCAGGTCCTCTCACAGTCACAGTCCACAGCACTTGTGTCAATTACTTCTCTGTGCAGTGAGCAAAACAAGGAAAAGCTATGGAATCGCCTAACACAGTGGTTGGCTATGGTAGGGGCCCAACAAATGACAATTTGGTTTTCTTTCTTTCTAAATCTAAAATGGCTATCAATATAAAAGTCTTTCAAGAAAGCTGACAAAGTGTAACAGAAAAATCCTGAGAAAAAAACAGCCAGATCATTACTTCCAAGTGCTTTATTATCCTTGACACACAGACTTGAGGTGAATTCAGATTTCAGTGTGCTCCGTTCTAGTGCACGAGTGTGAGAGGTATACATCACTGGGAAACTGCCAAGGTCTTGCAGGAACTTGCCTCTGCAAAGCAAGTGAAGGTTCAAGTTCTAAGGGCACTCAAAATGAGCAGCAGTCAAGCAGGGGTGCTGCTGGTGTCCTGACCACACTCAGGACTGGAGATGCACCTGTGCTTTGCATCAAACCAGATGTCTGAGGAGAAGCTGGGGTAACCAACCAACAGTTACCAGCTGGAAGAACAAGGTAACTGCAGATAAATCTGTGCACAGGTGTGGCGGAAAAGAAACAAAAAGCCAAATGCATGTTTTAGCCCTTTAGGGTCTGTGATAGAACCATGCAAAAGTAACTCCAAAGTTGTAGTGCTTACTGTCAGAGGCCTGGTGGAAATACACCTACAAGAACCTTTGTCTCTCTATGTAAGCAAACCTGAGTACTTACTCTGTATCCCTTATTATTCTAAGCATATTTATGTTACCTCCAGCCTTTAATAGTCCCAAAAGAGAAGGATGGTCTCCATTTCAGAGATGAACAAACTACTTGGAGAAGTTAGGAACTGGCAAGTTACTGGAAGTGACATTTAAAACCATGGCCTATTCCACGACAGCAGTAGACACACAGTACTGGAGGTACACACTGATGACTGCAGGTGTCAAAGGATGACCTTTAATTTAATAGCAATGCACTTACTTTACTTGGTATTAGAAAAATATAACAAGCCCTGGCTGGTGTAGCTCAGTGGACTGAGTGCTGGCCTATGATCCAAAGGATTGCTGGTTCAATTCCCAGTCAGGGCACATTCCTGGGTTGCAGGCCAGGTCCAGTGGGGGGGGGGGGGGTGTGCAAGAAGCAACCACACGCTGATATTTCTCTCCCTTTCTTTCACCCTCCCTTCCCCTCTCTCTAAAAATAAGTAAATAGCCCTGGCTCATGTAGCTCAGTGGATTGAGCACTGGCCTGTGAACCAAAGAATTGCTGGTTCGATTCCCAGTCGGGACACATTCCTGCGTAGCAGGCCAGGTCCCTAGTGAGGGCCACGTGAGAGGCAACCACACATTGATGTTTCTCTCCCTCTCTTTCCCTCTCTCTAAAAATATATAAAATCTTAAATAAATAAACAAATAAAACGAGCTCAAACCTATGATCTCATAAACACCAATACTAAGATAAAACTAAATCCAATCAAATTGACTCACTGCTTTTATGTATTTTAAAAATCATAGTATGTGGTGTGTCAAGTGCAGAACACATTACATGCTACAGTATTTCCCACCCTCCCAACTGCCAGTGTTTTCTTCATTAGCTTTCATTGCCACTCTAAGTCAAAAAATTAAGAAAATCCCTCCAGTGCCTCCAAAATGTACTTGGCCCCCCACTTCTATTATTTAATCATGTGAGCATATGCAGAAAAGAAACTCTGTCAAAAGGCTATATAATAATGTTCCCCAGTTAAAAGGCAAGACCAACATTTTAAATCCTTAACATTCACATTCTTCTAATGGCAGGAAAGGTAAATAACCAATAGGAAATGGAACTCACAGGTAATTCATCCTTCTGGTTCCAAACTCCAGTGCACTGCCTCTGTTCAATCACAGCTTTAATGTTAATTAAAGCCGGCAGTGCCACGCAACCTGCTGAGAAGCTGGGAGAACGGAAGAGGAAATGTCAGTGTTAGGCCAGTGTCAGACAGCTTGGTCCTACAAATGTCAACTCCTCCAGACTCTGTGTGCAGAGAGCTATTACAATCGGACAGAGCACAGAGCTCTCGGTTCTGCTAAATTAGCACGTGTGTACATGCGCACACATAGGTTTTAAGTTATACAGAACCACCAGACTTAACGGGCTCTATCTATCAGTCATTAATGACATTCTGAAACATTTTCTTGCATGGTTCCTTCTAGAGCCAGATCGCCCCTGTTCAGGGTACAAATACTCAGATCTAGAAGTGCCCCAGTCAATTCTCAGCACAGTCCCTCTTCAGGACTTTCCACTGACTAGGGTCACATCTGATGAATGTTCCACATGGATACAAAAGCCCAGCCCTGCTGTCCCAATATTGGAGGTCCTCAGGGATGGGCTGAGGCCTTTGGTTAGCCTGCGTTCACATTTCAACTTTTCCCTCTGCCTAATCTTGCTGCTTTTATCCCCACCACAAGGGCTGATCCCAGTAACCTCTTCCTGTCAATCTCGACCCATTTCAGAGTCTGGTCCCCAGACAACCTGACCTGCAGCCTGGGCCTGGGCCTGGCCCTGCATTATAGGTAAATGCACGAGTGTCTCCTGCAGTCTGATGGCGCACCCTATGGGACGCAGACTGTACCCCACACATTGCCAGGCACACAGCAGAAATTAAAAACACTTGAGGAATTAAATGAAGAGTAAAAAAGTTATTTTCTTAAAACAGGTTCTTAAACCTTTTGGTTTCTGGTCCTCTTTGCATACTTAAATATTAAGGATATCAAAGAGCATTTGTTGTGGATATTGCACTAGAATTAAAACAAAAAATTTTTTAAATATTAATTCACTTAAAAATAATACACAATACATGTTATAAATTATATTCTTACTCAAAACCCCCTATTTTCCAAGCCCAAAGTAAATGTGTGAGAAGACCTGCAAAGAATTAGCATATCTAATTATACATTATCAAAAAAATTTCATTAATATCACCAAGCAAATCAGAAAAGTCTTTAAATATGGGAAAGCTGGCAAGCTCACAGTGGCAGTACAAGTTTTCCAAAATTTCTATTTTAGCTCAAAATTTTAATTTTATCATTATGGCAAAAGATACTGTCAGTTGCTTTCCTTGATAACAGGCTCACTTTGTTTATTTTAAAAAATATATGCTAAACACCTGAATATGAATAATTGTAGTCTGTCTTTTAGTGATTCTTTCAAGTAACAGCTGTGTTCCATAAAAATAAAAGAAAAAAACTAGCTTATTAGCTCATAACTCTAACAACATACAGGTGCTTTTTCCTGAGATGGTAATCATATTTGGGCATGAAGCTGAAGTGTTTTATATGAACTTCCTACTGCGTCACACAAATATTAAAAAGATGTGTACTCAAAAGTCAATATTTAATAAAACTAATCATTTTAATGTTTTATCAAGAACATTCTTAAGTAAAACCAGCATGTCTTAAGCTGCAAGTGTGTGGTGGTGAGGAAAATGGGATTTTTCAGACCACTGCTCTGATCTGTGCTAAGGCTCAAGCAATTAACTCACCACTGTTTCTGCACCATCTGTGCAAATGTCAACCTAGTGGAAAAGGCTCAAGACCCCCCAGGTTCACAGATTACACTTTAGAAACTGCTGCTCTAGAACTGTCACTGTCAATCATGACAATCTCTTAAAATACCAACTGCACTCTTCTTTGGAAAGACAATCTCTCGGCTTTAAACATCAAGAACTAGGCAACAAGTTAAGAACTAACCAATATGATGCACATTTCAGTAATAGGACCAATTTCCATACCTGACACTGAGAGGGGATTCCACAGAAAGCCCCAGGAGGGCACAGGCATCCCGTGTAAAGATGTCACAAATGTCAGCCCACTGGTTTGCATCAAGCAGGTGAACATATGGTGAGTTCTCAATCCCTTGTCTCAGGTACACGAGGCTTCCCATCAACACCTGAATGTCTAAACAAAAGCAGCAGCAACTTAGAGGTGTGAATGATTATACCTGAAATAGAGCTGGCCTGCAGGTAATAATAGGCTGAGAAAGACAAGAATCCCCGAAACTGACACAGCCTAAAATAATTTATTCACAATGTCTTTTAGAATTCTGGTCTTTAAGCTTGGCTTCTCCCTTCACCTTGAAAAAACAGTACAGAGAAAAGGGAGGGAAAAAAAGAAAGCACTCAACATTGGTCTTGCAGTTATTTTATAGTTACAAATAGTGTAGTACAATTACCATTATTTTCAAGAACAATAATTATGCTATAAAAGGGGCCACCACATATTATTTGACTGTAGAACTACCCACTACTTCCACTGTGACACCCAGGGGTGCTCTGAAACACTCTGCTGTGGCAGTAACAGCAGCATGGGGGCCAGGGACACACCAAGAACAAGGGCATGATTGTATAGAAACCCAGGAGAAGTGGTGGGCATTCAAAATGACAGGCAGCAAATACTGGACGGACAAAAGCTGGAACAAGGGTATCGAATTGGGAATCTCAGTAAGGAGAGGGAACTCCAAGTCTTGCCAACATGCCTTGGAAGGGAAAATTCCATGCCCCAGGGAAGGGGGAGCAAGTGCACACTTCCCTCTTTCTCATATCTCCTCTCAGTTTAGTATCAAATCCCCCCAAATGCAATGTCTCTTTCTGACTTTTTTTTAAGGAAGAGTGACTAGTTATTTCAGAGAATTCCTCTCTCCACTCAGCCTCAGTTTCTCAACATCAATAACTTGATATAGCTCCACACAAAGTATCCACGGAAAGCTTACTGTTAGAGAGATCAGTAATAAAAACTTATTTCCAATGTTTACAAAAAAAAAAATAGAATCGGAAACGTAACATGACTTTTACAAAGTCATAAAGCTTGGAAGTACATAGTGAGGCCAAGGCCCAGATGCAAATCTCCTGAAAATTCACCCAATGTCCTTTGGCTACTGAGTAATTATGTATAGAGCACTGAAGAAATTACCTGCTTTAAATTAACTTAATCTAAGAGGGCTCTGTGTGCAATCTTTATTCTTGAAAGATACTATTTGGTTTTGTACCTATCCAGGTGAAAAGTTGACGAATGTCTTGAAAATAAAGCAAGCTGTATTGAGTGTGCATTAATTTCTTGGCTAATATTTCAGTTCACTACATTAGAGCCATCATGATCTGAACGAAAGAGCATTTCTGCTTCTAAATATTTGAATTCCAATTTGAGGCCTGTCAATCTAACCCGACTCATAAGTTGGCTTCATCTGATTTTCTCTGTTTCATAACAATATAGTTTAGTATTTGCTAGGCTGCATTTGATCTGGCATTTCACTTATGAGTCTTAATACTTTTTTTGCTCCAGACCCAGTCACAGCTTTTTCTGTGAGTATCATCTACAACTGTTTCCATTCACTAGGAAGCACATATTAGATCTACTTAAGATATGATTCAATTCCAGTGGTGGCTACAGGTCTGCTGCAAAAATTAAAAACATGATTCACTTAGACTTCCTGTCAAGATGGCCACATAGGTAAACATGGCTCACTTCCTTGCACAACCACATTAAAATTACTACTAATATATATAGAACCACCACCACCAAGAACCATCGGAAATCAAGCTGAATGGAAGTCTGACAACTGAGGAATTAAAGAAACCACATCCATGCAGACTGGGAGGAGGGGCAGAGACACAGAGAGGGCTGATCCCACATTCACATTTGGTGATAAAAATTCGGAAGGAGTATTTAAGGGAGCAAGGGATTCCAGCCAACACCAGGCATCCCAGCCAAGGGTTCCAGTGCCAATAGGATAAGTCTCCATAACTCCTACCTGCAAAAATCATGGGTAATTGAGTCAGTGGAAAAACCTGCTGGAGACCCAACCAGTTTCTCTTAAGGAACCCACACACAGACTTACTCAGACTCACTCCCTCTGAGTTCCAGCACTGAGGAAGCAGCTGGAAGGCACTGGTGGCATACAGAGAGAAACTGAAGTGTCTAGCATCAAGGTGAGAACTGGGGGACCAGCTTCCTCCCAGAGAGAAAGATGGACAGAGGCCACTGTCTCCTTTCTGAACCCTCCCCCGCACATAGCCACACAGCCAGCAGGCAAATGCCACATCTGAGATTCCATCAACCTGGCTAACACTGTTTGCCCCACCCTGGAGATCCCTTCAGACTCCATCCCACCCAATTTACCAGGATACCCAAACAGTTAACAATGTTGTTTCCATATGTATGGCAGGTCTTGGCTTTAGCTTCACAGCTTCCTAACAAGGAACAGCTGGCCTCAGTGAGCCCCTAGCCCCCTGTATCTCTTGCTAAGTGGCCCCAGGCCTGGCACTAGCAGCAGCCAGTCTAGACTAACAGCTTAGCTTCATCTGGGAAACTCCAAACTCAGCACAAGCAGCAGCCATCTCAGACTGCTTTATAGTCAGGCAGGGTGGCCCCAGGCAGAACAAAGGTGGGGGTTAACCTTGGCCAGCACCACCTGGGAAACCCCAGAACAGTGCACCCAGTGGAGAGCTACAGACCACACTGGAGCACTACCACACTGCCCCTGCATAGCTGATCCTCCACGGAGGATGTAAGTTGGTGGTCAGTGGTCACAACCAGTCCTTGCAGCTGACTGGCCTGGGTAAATCCCTCCCAGTGACCTGCCAACAGTCATCATGGCTCAATTACAAGATGAGAGTATAATCAGCCCACTCAAAGGGTGTACCTCGAGTATCCAGTGTGGGTAATAGTGGAGGAAGTGCCACTGGAGGACACCTGCTACATTAGCTGATGCTACAAAGACAGGGAGTCATAGTAGCTCGACCTAAACATGAAAACAAACAGAAGGAGGCTGCCAAAATGAAAAGGCAAAGAAACATGGCCCAAATGAAAGAACAGATCAGAACTCCAGAAAAAGAACTAAACAAAACGGAGATAGCAATCTATCAGATACAGAGTTCAAAACACTGGTTATAAGGATATTTAAGAATTTAGTGAGGACCTCAACAGCAAAAAAAGATACAGTCAGAAACAAAGGATAAACTGACTGAAATACAGAACAATTTACAGGGAAACAACACTAGAGTGGATGTAGCCGAGAATCAAATCAGCGATTTGGAACATACGGAGTCAAAAAACAACCAATTAGAACAACAATAAATAAAAAAGAATCCAAAAAAATGAGGACAGTGTAACCAGCCCTGGGACAGCTTCAAGCATTCCAACATTTGTATTTCGGGTATGCCAGAAGGAGAAGAGAAAGAGCAAGAAATTGGAAATCTATCTGAAAAAATAATGAAAGAAAACTGCCCTAATTTGATGAAATAAATAGACATGCAAGTCCAGGAAGCATAGAGAATCCCAAACAAGATGCATACAAACTCCACTCCAAAACACATCATAATTAAAATGCCAAAGGTTAAAGACAAAGAACCTTAAAAGCAGCAAGGGAAAAGCAGTTAATTACCTACAGGGTGTTCCCTTAAGACTATCTGCTAATTTCTTAAAAGAAACTTTGCAGGCTAAAAGGGATTGAAAAGAAATATTCAAAGTCATGAAAAGCAGGGACCTATAGCCAAGATTGCTCTACCCAGCAAAGGCATCATTTACAATCAAAGGGCAGATAAAGAGATTCCCAGACAAGAAAAAAACTAAAGGAGTTCATCATCACCAAACCATTACTCTATGAAATCTTAAAGGGACTTAAATTTAAGAAAAAGAAGATGATCAAAACTATGAACAATAAAATGGCAATAAATACATACCTATCAACAGTTGAATCTAAAAAACTAAGCAAACAAGAGGAACAGAAACAGAATCAAGGATACAGAGAGCATTTTGATGGGTGCCGGACGGGAGGGTGTTGTGGGGGAATGGGTGAAGAGGGGAGGGTACTGAGAAGAACAAATAGGTAGTTACAGAAGAGTCACAGGGATGTAAACTTCAGTACAGGAAATGGAGTAGCCAAAAAACCTACGCCTGACCCATGGACATGAACAATGGTGTGGAGATTACCTAAGGAAGTGTGGGGGACCAAGGGAGGGGGCAAAAAGGGGAAAAATTTGGGACCACTATAATAGCATAATCAATAAAATATAATTAAAAAACAAAATAAAATACATTAAAAATATGTGACTCGGGACTCACCTTTTTGATGATTTAGGGCAAATGGCTGAAAATTTTTAGCATATTGCAATGCTTCCCGCTGATTTGTAGTTCCACCCATTAGCAAGCTAATAAAATACAGTCTATGTAGCTTAAATTCCAAGGAGCTGTTTTGGGCTATAAGCATTTCTCGGTTTGATACTGCCCACCTAAAGAAAAAAGCAAACACAATTTTAACAATTATTAACAGCTTAAGTGAGGTGTATTAAAAATTGTTTGAAACCTAGTAACATGAAAAAAAGTGTTTGGTCTGCCATCTTGTGGAAGTTGGTGGTAACATCAATCCCTAGGCCCAGAGACATTTGTATAAAAGTAAGCATAACAATTAAAACTGAAGAGGCTTTCAACCAATGAAAAAAAGAAAAAAATATTGTTAGATGACAATTACATACTTAATATACTTTTATACTAAGGCATAATTGACTCTGATAAGTTACATGACAGATCTGGAATTGTGCTAGGCCACATTTTGAAGAAGGTGTCAGCCATGAGACTCACTAGTGAATTGCCTAGATCCACTACTTTTTTCCTGTTAAACTGAAAATGAATCACCAGATTCTGAAAGGGAACTATCAGTCTTTAAACTTTTGTTAGGTGCAAGATTTTGTGCTACTCACTTTGGAATTAACAACAGTAAACACCAGTATTTACTCTTAAGTTGCTTTCAGGCTGATCAGGCACATAAAGCCATGTAAACATCCTAAGCAGGGACGTCACACTCGTTTTCACCTGGGCCACATCAGCCTCGTGGTTGCCTTCAAAGGTCCGAATGTAATTTCAAACCCTCAACAGTTAAGGAGTAGTCACATTTATACAGTACTAAAGTTATTTGGCCCTTTGAAGGCAACCACAAGGCTGATGTGGCCCCTGGTAAAAATGAGTTTGACGCCACTGCTATAGTGTATTACACTGTGCCAGAAAGATATGAACAAACATAGAACTAATGAGAAAAAATACTGATGATCCAAACAACAGCGACTCAGGCCTCTTAGTACAAACAGTTTGAATAACCAATCTTGAGTTGGAACTACCAGTTCAGGTAAGCACTAAAACAGAAATGTGTAACAGCCAGCAGTTAAATTCAATTTTGCAATCAAGTGGTAAGAAGCATTATTTTGATTTTTTTTAGCATATCAAGATATAGAAGCCATTAGTATTACATTCTTCTTTAACTTGACCTTTAGTTGGACAAATATTCCCCACCTAACACAATTTACCAAGGACCACTGGATATGTTAAGGGAGGGGAAAAAATGGTGTGATGTATAGAGAAAAGTAACTTCTAGTTGACAGAATATTTAACATTAATGACTCCCCAAAAGTTGGATTTCACACATTATTTATCAGCTACTATAACATCGGCTATGATAAATCAGAACAGGACACCAACTATTTGAGCACCAAACACCAAGGGGCTAAAAACAACCGTGAGGACACATGAATGAACAGCAGCTGACAGTACTCCAGATGACAATGATTTTAGAAGTAGTCTATGCTGTCTATGTCTTCCAAGTTTTCTACAGTAAACATATACTACTCTTACATGTAAAAAGATAATACATAATTAAGCTAATGCAAAAGTAAACAAAATTTCTTCCATTTTCATCAAAAAGCTAACAAAGTAATTGCAAATTACATATCCTACAATTCAAACCACAAATTATAAATTCAAGTTTTTCAAGCTATAAATATAAGTGCCCTATTTTTTAACCTGGAGGTGTTTTAGACCATGTAATTTCTAATTTATTACTTGAATTTATTTGTACACATTTTCAAATTCTGTTATAAAGCTACAAAATAATCAGAAAAAAACTAGCATTGCTAATTCCTGCCCCTTCCCCTGAAATTTTTAGAAAAGTAAATTGACGTCCATTACAAAAATGAGGTGATGGAATGCAGGAGAATGCAAAACCCAAATTCATAGGATACAAGTTTTCATATGTCTGTTTCTTAGTTTTATTTCTTGTCGTTCTATCTGAATGACAAGAAATAATGAATTATATGTATTAAATTCATTTAACTTCTAAATATTGTATTAAGCCTAAATCTCAAAAGGGAAGGGGTTTAGAATAACTATTTATAAGCTTCTCTCCCCAGCAAAATTTCATTTTCTAAACTAGGGATGATATACCCCCCAAATACATAAGCACCAAGGTGAAGCCCTTGCCCGATAGGACCTCAGTCTCATACCCCCAGGCCTGTACTTTGGCAAACGCATTTATATTTTCCTGACCCCCCCAATTCCTTTGCCACAAATAACTGGACAGATAAGCATAGGTCGTACAGTCACTATGTGTTCTCTCCTAATTAAAAAAAAAAAGTTCATATACCTTTATCTCTTTTATGACCACTTCACGACCCTACATCTTTTGTTGTGTAAGTTCTTGATGGGGTTGCATTCCTTGGCAATCATAACATCCATCTTAGCTGATCTTTGAACTCTGGATATAAATCTCACAGCAACATTCTGATCCACACTAGCAGCTTCCCCAGATAACTTAACATTGGTGAATTCATGATAACTTCTGAGACAATGACATTTATTGAAAAAGATACAAAATATAAGAAACATCATACACAGGACAATGACATCTCAGTTCCCTACAAAGTAAGCACCTTGGGAACTCACACAGTTCTCCCAATCACCATCAGCTGCCCCATCATATTTTCCTGAATTTTTCTTTAAAATTTCCCTGAATCTCATCAATAGTCTGAAATCTCTTCCCCTTCAAAGGTGTTTTTAGTTTTGGGAAAACCCAGAAGTTGCAGGGTGCCAAACCTGAAATATAAGGTGGCTGAGTAACCTGGGTGACTTGATGTTTTGCCAAAAAACTCTGCATAAGACATGATGCATGAGTGAGTGTGTTTATCGTGATAAAGCTGCCACTTACTAGTTGCCCATAGATGCAATATTCTGAATCATCCAAACAGTTTCCACAAAGGACTGTTCAAACTTTAACGCAAAATCTGATGCAGATCAGTTGCTCTACTCACTCAGTCATTTGAATATGATGGCCACACAGTACACATGCTTACTCAACAGTATCTACTGCCCCAATGACCAGTGCAGTGAAGTCATCATTGTTCATGATGCACATTCCAGTGTACTCTCCTTGGCTGCCAGATTACATTGATGTCATGCAAACCATTCCCATTATATTAATAATGGCTGAACTTTTACCAGACAGACCTCATATATTTTACTGATTAAATTGTTACAGTTCCCCCAACTTTTCCCCCTTTGCCCACCCCAACCAAGCACCCTGCACTCCCTCATGCAAAATGCACCCCTTTATTCATGTTAATGGGTCACGCATACAATTTCGTTGGCTATTCCATTTCCTATACTATACTTTACATCCCCACAACTATTCTGTGACCCATTCAGTACTTAATACTCTCACCTCTTCACCCCTCCCCTCACATCCCCCCATCCTGGTAACCAACAAAAAACTATATCCATGATTCTGCCCTTGGTATTCTTGTTTGCTTAGTTTTTTAGATTCAATTGTTGGTACGTAATGTGTTTATTGCCATTTTATTGTTCATAGTTTTGATCATCTTCTTTTTCTTAAGTAAGTCCCTTTAACATTTCATATAATAATGGTTTGGTGATGATGAACTCCTTTAATTTTTTCTTGTCTGGGAATCTCTTTATCTGCCCTTTGATTCTAAATGATACCTTTGCTGGGTATCATTTGATATCACTGATAGAGCAATCTTGGTTGAAGGTCCCTGCTTCTCATGACTGAATATTCCTTTCCAATCCCTTCTAGCCTGCAAAGTTTAAGAAATCAGCTGACAGTCTTATGGGCATTCCCCTATAGATAACCCACTGCTTTTCTCTTGCTGCTTTTAAGATTTTCTCTTTAGGGCTTGGCTGAATACTGTGTTCTTTTTCTTAGTAGTTTACACAGCCAGACACCATACAAAAGTAAAGTCTTCCCTTTAAAGTGACTATGATGGTACGCAAAGTGTCTTCATAGCATATCATTACTTTAAAAAAAAAGATTCTCTCTTTATCTTTAACCTTTGGCATCTTAATTATGATGTGTCTTGGAGTGGGCCTCTTTACATCCATCTTGTTTGGGACTCTGTCCTTCCTCGACTTGCATGTCTACTTCCTCACCAAATTAGGGAAGTTTTCTTTTGTTATTTTTTTTTCAAGTAGATTTCCAATTTCTTGCTCTTTCTCTTCTCCTTTGGGCACTCCCATGATGCAAATGTTGGTACATTTTCTTTTTTCTTCTTCTTGGCTTCATCCAAGAATCAAAGCAACGATATGCCCAGGTCTTTTTTAGCCTGTTGAGGTACTAAGTTCCTTGAGCACCCTCATAATCTGTGTTTTCAATTGTGCATCTGATAAATTGCTCATCTCCATTTCATTTAGTTCTTTTTCTGGAGTTTTGATCTGTTCTTTCATTTGGGCCATGTTTCTTTGTCTCCTCATTTTGGCAGCCTCCCTGTGTTTCTTTCTTTATGTTAGGTCAAGCTGCTATGACTCTCTGTCTTGGTAGCATGGCCTAAAGTAGCAGGTGTCCTGTAGTGGCCAGTGGCACCGACTCCCGCTATTACCCAACCTGGGTACTCGAGGTGCACCCTTCCGGTGAACTGAGTACACCCTCTCCTTGCAGTTGAGCTTTGATGCTATTGGCAGATCAATGGGAGAGATTTACCCAGTCAGCTACAAGGATTAGCTGTGACTACTGACTACCAACTTCTACCCTCTGTGGAGGATCAGCTGTGCAAGGGGCAGAGTGGTGGTGCTCCAACATGGTCTATAGTTGTCCACTGGGTGCACAAGCTCTGGGGTTTCCTGGGTGGTGCAGGCCAGGGTCAGCTACCACCTATGTTCCACCTGAGGCCACCAAGCATGAGCTACAAAAGCAATCCTCAGGTGACTGACACTTGTGCTGGACTTGAAGGTTCCCAGGTAAGGCCAAACTGTGATCCAAAGCTGACTGCTGCTAATGCCAAGCCTGGGGCTGCTTAGCCAGATGTATGGTGGCTCACTGAGGCTGGTTGTCACTTGAGAGGACTTAGGAAGATGTCAAGTCTGCGCTGAGATTACCCATTCATACAGAAAAGCCACTGTTAACAGCATGGGTGGTCTGTAAATTGGGTAGGGCAGAGCTTTAGGATTTCCCCAT